AGCTTCGACCTGCAATATAGCCAGCATCGTCAGAAACATGCTGGCCGGTTAATGGAAGACTCTAAATGGTCCCCAGGTGTGATTGAGAGCACAAATGGTTGTTCGTCTGTGTGTGCCCTGCAATTGGCTGGCAATATATATGTTACAAAACTCAAAAAGTTTGGGATATTTGGCTTTCAGGTGAAATTTCAGGACGCGCCTAAAATGCATTCAAATTTTTACATGTGAACTTAACGTGACCAGTACTTTTGGTACAAGTTAATCTCTAATGAGGAGCTGAACGGCAAAATTCACAACAGGTGTTTGGTCCTTGAATCCACCAATTAGTGTCCTGGTGTATGAAATGTGCTAATTTCATCAAACCCTCTTGAAATAAGTAACACCATATTGAATCGTAATTCCACTGAATTGAACCGAATAAGTTCCCCTTTCAAATGAACCATCCCGTGTATCAAGATGTCTATCCAATCATCTTTTATTGGAGAGATGTACAATCCTAACATACAAGTAAGGTATGGTTTTTCATTTGTTGTCATGAGCATTTTTTTTTCAGATGAACTAAGAATGAGGTCTTTGCTAACTTGGATCCAAAGGGAGGGAAAATGCTCAAATTTGGCCTGATTGTCAGGATGGTTATAAAAAGTGTAGTGACTTTTCACCTCCCATCCAAAAGTCTTCTTCTTCATCCAATTTTCTACACAGCCGGCCGGCGACAGTCAAAGGGCACATGGAGTGAATCACCTGTGAAAAATGACTTGTCCTCATTCTGCGGGGAGATAGCCGGGTGTATCCACGGGACCTTGTCACTTCTCATGTGCTCTCAATGAATCTAAGCTGCTTGCTGATCCAAGCCTTTAACCCGTTCGCTGTGGTAAAACAAGGGCATGAGCATTGACTGCGCGCAGGGAGATTGTTTCCTTCAGAGCCCATTACAGCTTCAGCCACGAGCATAGTGCTGACGAGTGCTTCCAACACGGCTTCTGGTTGAATGGTTCAATGTCTGTGTTCAATGATGCTAGCAAATGTGCACGTTTGAGTGTGTATGACGTGGACTTGAAATTGTGCAAAAATTAGGCTATGCTGGTGACACACCACACTGGCATCCCAAATGCCCCAATGGCATGTTTTTATTTAATTTCAATATTATTTTTTATTTGTGTGTGTGTGTGGGGGGGGGGGTTCATACAACCTGATTTGTTTTTCAATGATCACTCATGCTTTCCTTAGTTTGTGAATCCTCAGCATAGATAGTATATTTAAAAAAATAATGTTAACATATTATCCTTTCAATTTGTATCTGAAACCCAGTGAGCACACTCATGATGCTGTTGGCCACAGCTCATGCCCAAATACTCACACACAGACTTGCCGAGGTCACAAGGCTCAAATTTGCTTACTTTATTCTTGATTTCATACCCTCGGTGACTAATGTCACAGAACAATTTACAAGACCAATGAGGAAAAAAAAAAAAATCAAAGGCAGCAGAGAAAAAAAAAAATAAACCAAGCCTTCCACAGATGTCCAACAAAGAAACATGCCCAGCAGTGGTTCTACAGTATGGAATAAAATCTTACAGAACTGCATACAGGATTATTGTAGCGAACGCCTGGGCACTAAAATATCGATTCTATTTTCTATAAATTTTACACTTGCAGTTTTTTTTTTTTTTGGTTTGTTTTCAATTACGATAATTATGTGTGTAAAAGCATGTTTTAATAAGTTTAAATGTGTGTTCTAAACATTTTTTATCCTATCTGACTTTGAATACATCAATAATTGTATTTTACTAAGACTCCATATCAAGTTTGTGCACGTAGAGGAACATTTTTAAAGCTTAATGGACATAACCCAAGCCAGGAGTCGCGTATCCGTTCGGAATAGCTGCCCAAAGGGTTTTCACAGACATCAACATAATAATGCTTTGGTGTGTTCATGATTGCTCAGAACCAGGCGTCTTCTTGTTTAATGCAGCAGGTCTATTAAATCGGACAATTCCCTTTCAATATTAAAGTCTCTTTTCATTGCTAATAGCACCATTTCCATTACTGACTGTTTGCTTTTCCCCGCGAGGACTCCCCGCACATGATGTACATGCTTCTGAGACCTACGTGTGACTTCCATTAATAATATAGTAATTGATTTTGCCAGTCATAGTGCCCGGACATACCAAGGTAATGGTCCATTTGGCATGATGAGAGAATACAGCAATGTTGGACCCATTTTCACACAGCTTTAATGGTTTCCTGTGTAGTAGATCCATGCAACATAGAGAAGCAGTGACGATGCCAGCGTTCACGTTATCAATAAAGGCATTTTAAAAAATATACCGAAAACAATTGCGATGGAGATCCAAGGCTTCTATGAGAAAGTGGGGAACTGCTGTTCGTGATCTGGAGATTGAAGAAAAGACACATGGGAATCACTGGGTACTAACTGTAGGATTATTTCGACCAGCCATTTTTAGCAAATAAGAAGCAAGGAGTTTTTTTCTCCATCCATTATCTATAGCCCTTGTCTTCATTTATGTCTTTTTTTTTCCTGATTCACAGCAGGGCACGGTCCCCATCCTTTGCAAAAAGCAGAGGTTTACTGTTTATGATTTTGCCAGCCTTTGGACTGTCCTTAAATTGTGAGTGTTGTGGTGTCACTTACCGAGCAAAGCCGACGCGTTCAGAAAACGTGTGAATGTTTCTGCTGGAGAATGTGCGGTACCTCTTTGACGAGGCTGACAGGTGAAAAGCGAGCACGTGGGATGCGACCATCAACCTTGAAAGAGAGCGTGACAGCTCAGTCTGAATTCAAAAAGCATCATCGCCTTTAATGCCGCAGATACAAGGTTACATTTGAAAAAGAAAAAGACGAAGATAAAGGATTGAAATGCCAACACAAATCCCTTTGCCTTGTTTTCTCTCCCCGACACGACCTCACTGCTGCCTTCTTTCTTTTCATCTTGCAGGAATTCATCGCGGAGCTTGCGGACCCACACAGGCCCACGGGCTCTGACACATAAACGAATCCCCGCCCAGGGGGACAGTGAAGATTAAAACTAGTGATTGCCGCGGAAGCCTTCGAGATTCCTGAGAGTAGACGAGGGAGTCGAAGGAGGTCATCTTCCACCTTTTGTTCTTCCCGATGCCCGAGTGCAGAATCTCCATAGACAAGCCTCTTTGGACGATGGAGTGAGGGAGTGGAGTGGACGTGAGGAGAGCAGGATTACAGCTCTGTGAAAGAGCCAGGCTCATATTGTACATTAAGTGACTGTCTGAGTGAGAGAAAACATGAGAGGAAGCCTTCGCTGTGCCAGCTGCTTGGAGTGCAATTAACCCTCTGGCCAGCGCGAGCGACTACCTGGCTTCTATTTTTCTTGATTGCGGCGGTTTGCTTGTACGAGCTGCGGCCATGTTCCACCCGCCACCTTGCAGACTGGACGGGACGGGCGGCCAGAGACACGGCGTGGTTCTCCTCCTGCTGCTCCTCGACAGCTCCCTCAAGGCGGCGCAGGCCGCCAAACCCAAAGGCCCAGGTCACACCCACCTGAATTCCATCCGCATCGACGGGGATATCTCCCTCGGCGGGCTTTTCCCAGTCCATGCCAGGGGCCACGAGGGGAAGCCATGCGGGGAACTAAAAAAGGAGAAAGGAATTCATCGGCTGGAGGCCATGCTCTTTGCTTTGGACCGCATCAACAACGATAATAACCTGCTGCCGAACATCACGCTTGGCGCCCGGATCCTGGACACCTGCTCCCGTGACACGCACGCCTTAGAGCAGTCGCTCACCTTCGTGCAGGCGCTAATCGAGAAGGATGGGACAGACGTCAAGTGTCTGGGTGGCGGGGCGCCTATCATCACCAAACCGGAGAGGGTGGTGGGCGTCATCGGAGCGTCGTCCAGTTCCGTTTCCATCATGGTGGCAAACATACTGAGGCTCTTCAAGGTAAGGACGGATGCCAGGATACTTGTGTTTTGGAAACTCGTGTTTTTGGCTGAGTTGCTGTGTTGGTAGAGTGAGAAAAACTCACAAGGCTGTGAATCAATTTGAATGAGTTTTGGTTGGTATGTTTAGCTTTGATATGATCTACAGATACAGTACATGGATTTACTTTTGATGAGGATCTGGAGCTTACATAAAAAAAAATCATGAATCACAAAAAGTTTAGGGTTTCATTTTTCAGGAGAAATTTCCAGATCAACCCAAAGTGTGCTTAAAACTTTTAAAGGTGACGCATGTCCAACTCTTCGACGTTTTGGTACTTTTTGCACAATTCGGTGTATTCTAAAGGACATAAAAGGCAAAATTCAGAACAGGTGATCCATGAATTGACCAGTACTGTAATTTCTGGAGGTGGCCCTGTGATCCAGTGGTTAGCATGTTGACCTCACAGTGCAGAGGTTGTGGGTTAAATCCCGGCACTGGCCTTCCTGTGTGGAGTTTGCATGTTCTCTGTGTGGGTTTTCTCCGGGTATTCCGGGTTTCCTCCGACATCCCAAAAATATGCATGGCAGGCTGATTGACTACTCTAAATTGTCTCTAAGTGTAAGTGTGAGCGCGGATGGTTGTTTGTTTCTGTGTGCCCTGCGATTGGCTGGCAACCGGTTCCGGGTGTCCCCCCCGCCCACTGCCCGATAACTGCTGGGATAGGCGTCAGCATGTCCCGTGACCCTTGTATGGATAAAGCGGATCAGAAAATGGATGGATGGATGTAATTTCTGGACTATAAAACATAACTAATTAAAAGCCAAAACAGCTAAATTTAGCCATAAAAACTAATTTCTACATACATTGGCCCCTTTATGTTTGTAGGTCCAGTTATATCATGGTATATTTACAAAGAGAGAGACCATAGAGATGTTTTTTTTTTTTCGAACTTTTATTTACACTTCACCCTCCCCGCGCACAATGCAGCTTGTTACACAGTGATATCCCAAAATCTTTCTCATCGACTTTAGTTGTCGCACGAGGCTAATTCGTTAACAAGCTTCATCAGACAGTAGTGCACACAAGTCCGTAGCAGTGCAGCCTTTGGAAACCTGTTTATTTTTTTGGCTAGGATAAAACTCAAAATGTGCAAACAAATAATGCTGAAATTTTGTGTGTCGCTTCTAACAGCTAACCGGATTAACTTTTCAACTGAAAACAAAAGATACACCTCCACAGTTGTGACTTTGTGTCGCTTTGGGATGGCGAAAAATGAAAAAACAAAACAAAACAAAAAAAAAAAGAACCTCCTAATTACAACTAATTCAACCCAAAATTTGGTTGCAGATTACTTTGAACAAAGTCATACAGTTCTTCAAAAGTTGTGACTAGATTCTAAAATAATTATATTTAAAACTAATTGTGTAGTTGAACGCTCATCATCGAAACAAGACTACTTTCAAATCATGATCTCAAAATCAATACATATATTAATCAGTGGCGGGCCGTGCATTTCAACCTTCGGCCTTCAGTGACGTCACATACATGAACGCAATACTGTATAGGCTCGTAAAGCAGCACTTAATTTCAGCAGCATTTAAAACCATCAAGTATGCATTCACAATTAAGAGCAGGAAACTACATTTACAAATAGTCAAAAATAAAAAGATGATTTAAAAATACGAAATAAAATGCCACCCAAATTACGCTGTTATCTTAATCGTAGAAAGGGTTCTGTCAGTCGTCATCTGTACCTGTGGGTAAAAAACAAAAAAAACAAAAAACAAAAAAAAGCAAAAAAGGACGTTTCGCTTCTCTCACAGAAGCTTCGTCAGCGGTAGACAACCCTGAAGTCTCCGTGAAGACTCCGGGAAGTTGCTCTGCGCTAAAAAGCTTAATAACTTGTGACCGTTCATTGGGTCTTGATTAGGCCTATTGTTTGGGCTAAGGCTGAATAGCTACTTTCAGTTAGCCTGATCAGCATGTCTATGTCCCTTACTGGTCAACAAGTTATTGTAAATAGGAGACAGGTTAAATCTGATACCTCCTTCACGGTTCAGAGAGGGTGAAAATTTTTTAACAAAAATCGCTTCCTTTAAAAAAGTTAGGAAAATTAAAACAAACAGAGAGGAAACCAACCAACAGAGAGAAAAGAAGAGAAGGGGTGTCTGTGTACCTTATATTGCCGGCCTCTCAGAG